TTGCGAATTCTTGAGATGGTACTAGGCTAAGATGCAGATGTTACTTCTGGACTCTAAAACTAAATTTAAAATAGAATTGAATGTCTTGGTGCAGTTCCATTCTCATAAATTGAAAGAATATAGCACTTTCCAACTCAGAAAAAACATTGCACAGGCCCAGAGAAGAAACAAACAAACAAAAAAATAGGTGACACTTTTTTTTTAAAGATTGAGTTAACTTAACCTAAGACAGTTCAAAAAAATTACTTACTTTTATAGGTGATTTGAAATAATAGCTTTGTGTGCTTACAAAGCTATTTATAAGCTGATTGTTGCTAGGTTGTTTCACAAGTTCAGTGCCTTATGCCAGTTATAAAAGCTGTTCAGAAATGCTGGTTTATTGAGAATTTTAAAAACTGGGTGTCCTTCTCAGTTTGTTGTCATTCTGTTTTGTTTTATGTGTGCACACACACACACTCACACACACACTCACACACAGCATCCTTCTCAGTTTGTTGTCATTCTGTTTTGTTTTATGTGGGCACACACACACACACTCACACACAGCATCCTTCTCAGTTTGTTGTCATTCTGTTTTGTTTTATGTGTGCACACACACACTCACACACACACACTCACAGCGTCCCTCTCAGTTTGTTGTCATTCTGTTTTGTTTTATGTGTGCACACACACACACACACACACACAGTCAGCAACCCTGTGATTATAGAGCCATCTGCAGGAAAATTATCAAGTTGCAACATAGCTAAATGATTCTCTTACCTTGGTATTTCACATGGTAAGTGAAAGTGACAAACTGTAATTCATGTGGGGAAAGAAACCGACGGCCAAGAGATGCAGGATTATTAGGGTCATGGGACTCCCTTCTTTCATTTCTCAAAGAAAACTGCTTTGTCATAGTGGGCTTGTGATCAAAAGAAGCACGCAAGTTGCTCCAGGTTTTGCATATCTTCAGTGATGAGTCTCTCTTATTGGAAGAGGTGTTTAATGTGTGCCTTTCAGGAACTCTGTGATAGGTCAGTTCTGAGGAATACTATTTACTTCAGAAAGAAATTTATTTGCTTCCTCTGTAGAAAATATGGCTATTCTCACACATGCTCATAATAGTCATACAGTAGTCAAAAGAGGAATTAAACAAAAAATTTTGCCCTAAAAATGCAGGTTATATAGCTGATGATACAGATCTATTTTTGCATTTTGTTAATCATTAAACATTTCTAAAACTCAAGTTAGACTTAAGGTATTTGTAAAGAAACAGTAAGAAATCTGGTATTCCATGATATGAATTTTATTAACGTGTGTTAGCTCTGTATTGACAAACATTTTTTTCTTAGGTGGGTCTGTTTGGTTTGTTTTATTGATAAAGCTAGAGATTGAACCCAGCGCTTTGCACATGCTGAGCACACACTCTACCACCAAGCTACATCCCCAGCCCCAAGAAATGTATTTTTATGTATGTGTCGACACTTCTCATTCCTATCCAACACCCAAATAAATGTGTGCTGGTACTCAGACAAATCTCCAACAACCACCAGAACTCTGGTATTGGGTGAGATTTAGGTATTTACAGTTAAGACTTAATTGGACATTTTTTTCATACAGTGTCATCTAAGTGAAGGCCACAAAATCAAGTCTCTGATTTTTAAAATTTTCATACCATAGAAAGATAGTAATTGGAGGCCTTCTTACTGATGGATTGGATATCAGCAAGATGAGAGCAATCGCTGAGTTATAAGGCGTGCTATATGATTTCAGGTCAACTGTTATTATCTTTAATATGCATTGGATGTTATTACACTGGTTTGAAATACACTGGAAATTCACTGGAGTTTTATTTTGTTTTCTCTAAATTTTCTAAAATATGAGGTTGTTAGAAGAAGATCAGTTAGCAAAGCTAACTGAAATTCTACAGCTCACTCATAAGTCATCCCTATTCAAGATAAATCAGGAAAAGGAGTTCTTTTGCTTTGAATTTAGCTATTTGTAGATTCTCTCACTGTCCTCTTAAGTCTGACCTCACCCCTATGTTCCTTGTACCCAATAATTTATTATTTACTGAGTTTCATCTTTTAGAGAGATGTAGAGTTCATTTGTGGAATTAGTCATGTGTGAATTTTTAAGTTTGGCTCATTCATTACGCTGAAAGTCCTTTCCAAGAATTAATTCACTTAGAAGTAATGTTGAGACTTTTCATGAGGAATTCAATGTGTGGGTTTTAGATTTACTTTTCCAGCTGGATCATCTAGCTTTTCTGGACAATGGAATGTTGCTTACTTGTTTTAGAAGAATGTACAGTAAGATTAACTATTAAATGGCCTTAATTAATTCAAGATATGTAATTCAGTTCAGTTAAAATTTTCTTTGGAAAAATGTGTAGAATTCTGTGTCACTTGAAACATTCTTGCTTAAGGATAGTTTCACAAGCAGATACAACTATCATACTGATCCAAATATCAGGGATAAAGATGAGCAAATAAAATAGATAAAAATACTGCCTGAGTAATTCCAAGAAATTTTGCCCTTCTCTCCAAGGAAGATCTATTTCCCAACCAACAGAAAATAAGAAACCCTTGAGAAGTTTTTGCAACAAAGCCTGGAATTTAAACGAAAGTTTCCAGTGTTCTTATCCTAGCACACTTTTTGGAGATATCTTTTCCTCAATCTTCATAAAAGTAGCAAATTGCACAAGATTGCTTTTTCGTATCTATGCTCGATGACTGTTGGACTAGCAGTAAACATCACATCCGGGAACATTTGAGGGGGGAATCATCTGAAAAATTGGTGAAATGCAATAATCCTTGAACCAGCAATCATCAGTTTGCTAATAATAAAAGAAGTATGGCTCCAGGTCATATTTTTTTCAAAGTTCCTTGACATTTTCATTAATCATGTTGCCTGTGTATACAATATTGGCCCTCTTCCTGCAGAACTTGGTTTTGTTTAAGGTTGTTAGACTAGGTGAGGTGAATATTGAATCAGATCACATAATCTTAGAATAACCCATAAGTGATTATGTAGAACCGTGGGTGGAAGCGATTCAGGATAAAAAGTGCATGACAGTTCAGAGCTCCCGTGCAAACTGCACGCCTGTCTGAAATCAGGTTTAAAAATTGGCTCTGTCTCCAGCTGACTCGTTTTGTCAGACTGAGTCACAGGATTAACCCTTGACATGTTCCTTTAAAAAAAAAAAAAAGAAAGTAAAAGGCAAAGATTAAACAACCGCATTGACTAGAACAGCACTTGATCCATCTATATGCGATTTTTCCTGTAATATGATTCTCCTTAAGAAAAAAATTGTGCTGCAGCTGTTGCATAGATTAAATTAGGGTTTTTTTTTTAATTTTTTTTTAGGAAGAGACAAAAGATGTTATAGAAGACAGTTTATAATTGTGATAAAGCAAATGGCTGTCTACATCAACCAGTTTTAGTTTTCCTGTAGGTGAGGCAAACTTCAAAATGATGGTATTTTGGAATGACAAACTCAAGTCCTTGTTATAGCATACAAGTAAACTATGGGAACCTTTTATTTAAATTACCATCCGTTTTCTTGATGATATTCAGAAATGAATTCAATATTATATAGACACAGATACAGATATAATTTGTTTAAGTTTCTGCATGTACTCTTGTTTTGGTAGTAGTATACATCAAATGACTGTGGTGTTCTGTTGTAGGGGAGGTCTTACCTGTGCATGTATGGATACGTCTGTTTTTAAGAGGAGAAATAAAAGTAGAAGGCAAGAGCTTCTAATTGACTTCAACTGTTTAGAAACTATTACATTTCACATTTGGGTTTCAGGTCTAACAGTGAATATTACCCAGTTGCTTAGTGAACTGATTTTAGAACAGAAAAAGAATTTTGATTTTATTGTCTGTATTTATTTTTTTTACCCAAATGCTTGTTTGTTCTCTTTGGATTCTGATTTTATTGCCTTCAAAATAAAGAACTGATGATGAAATTTTGCAGTGTCCATAGTGCTTCAATAGCCACAGTTGCATACTTGAATTTACGTTATGCTGTGTGTTTTATCAGAAAACACAGTATACTCTATGTTTTCTGTCAAACACCAGGGAAATAAGCTTAACTTTTGCAGGTGGGTTTTTTTGTTGTTGTTAAACCAGTGTGAAAAAATTTTCTCCCCTCTTCTCCTGTTCCTCCTCAATTTCTATAGAAAACCAAGGTTTGTTTTTTTAACTAATAAGGAAAGGAAATTTTATTTTAAGTAATTCCTTTTCCTTTTCCAGCTACTTTTTAAAAGTAGCTGTTCGGTTGAAAAAGAAAGACTATTTATGAAAGACTAAAATTTACTTGAATGGTTTTAAGACATGGCATTGTTAATTGTAAATCAAAGCTTTTTACACAGTTCTCCAAGGATTGCAATAGGTCTTTGTGTTCTCTCAGGAGGGAGGAAGTTGCACGCCACCCTGCAGACTGGCATTTTAATGGTCTGCAGTACAGTGATGTTCTTTTGCAGCTGCTGCTTAGCCTTTTCTGTATCTGGAGACTGTGGGGAGGATTTATTGTTGTTCCGATACCAACCATCAGCTTTTAAAACACTGTAAAGTTAGCTGACCTTATTTTCTGATTCAATTTTATTACTATGATTTAATAAACATGTTCATAAGAATGGGGCGGGAGTTTTTTTTTGGTCGCCTATAGAATAATTCTAGCATATTTCATAGAGGATTTCTGCTTCATGCAAGGTGCCTTTAAAAAAAAAAAAAAGCGATGTGCCCTCTTTTTGCAGCTTGTGAGTTCTCTGATTAACTGAGCCTGGTGGAACCTATGAAGCGCAGAGAGAAGACAGAGGTTTTGATGGGAGGAAATGAGAAAAAAGAAAAGTTGCTATTCTGTTTTTTTCTGGATCAGAATCTACACCAAAAGATAATTGGAAAGTTTTTGAGTAGCAACGTGTCTTATGTGAGTGAAATGTATTTGGAGACGGTGTTAAGTATTATAATCAGTAAGAAAAAATCTATAAGGCCTGTATTTTCATATTATTTTTCCTTTCTGAGATATTTGAACATTAATATAAAATATGAATAAGTAAAATATTCCTTAAGAATAATAATGAGCTTAGAGCAAAGAGTTCTAAGAAACCTTAGTTAATTTGCTAGTTGGGGGGGGTGTGCATTTTGTCTGTGTACAGAACAGCCTTTCATGCCTTATATAAGGGAAAACAAAACCTTATTTTTAAGATAATTTTCCAATTTATAGAATAAAGTTTGTAACAAAACATGTTCCTTTCCAGTTTTTTTCCCCCAATATGATTTTTATAATGTAAAGAAAAAAAATCATGGTTTGTTCTAGCTAAGAGTACTTACATGATGGTCCACTCTCTCCAGAAAATGATTTTTGTACCAGGCTTAACTGTCTAGATCCTTCTTCTTACACATGATTCAGTGTTTCCAGTTTCTGATTGCTTGATCATGTGTCTATCAAAGTTGGAAGCAACTTTAGATCATGCCAGATGGAGGTGTAGTAAGCAAGGTTTCCCTGCCACAAGTGCTCTAATTTAATTAAAACTAAAAACAGATTAGCAGATCTGTCAGTTTGCCTTCCTTTGTGTTTGCGTGTGTGTGTGTGTGTGTGTGTGTGTGTGTGTGTGTGTGTGTGTACATACATAGGACAAAATTAGTAATTCCTTTGGATATTTATCTTTAGGGCATTGTATCTCTTTTCTTTAAGTAGAATGTATAACTTTGGGGATTTTCTTTTAATATCCCAAAGTTTATCTTATTGGTATCCTCCACTATTCAAGGACTTGATAGAAATTGAAAGAGGTTACTTACAGCATAAACCCTCCCTCTGTGCTCGGTGAGTTGGTTCAGTCCTGTTTTGCATAAGTTCCTTTTGAGTAGATCCATGTGTGGATACATAATACTGAAGACTTACTCTGTTTGCTTGAGTGGATGTATGTCTTGAAGAGGAGCTGTGTGCATTCGCGGCAAACAGTAACATTTGCAAAATCAACATGTATTGTGCTTATCCTGTCCCGGGAATGGGCAGCAATTCTTTGATGTATTACTACAATGGAAAAACGGTAAGCCTTTTTCTTTGTTCCTATAGCTTCTAACTGACTTGTTTAAAGGAAAGCAGTGCAATTTAATTGCTTTTAGTAAAAACCTGTGAGGTCTCGTTTTATTCTTTTCTACAATAAATTAGATTATGTATTTGTTTGTAAGTTTGCAAGTAAAGTTTTGTCTTCAACCGTTACTCAGTGGTTGTTGACTCTTACTTGATATCTAAAGTAGTATAGAAAATAAACTTGAATTTGTGAGTTATTTTTAACTTGGTATTTTCACTTCCAGTGTGTTTGAAAGTACATTTGTTTCGATGTTTTCGTATGTTGTGATTGTGTAATTTAGGTTTAAGGTATAGACACACACACACATTGAGCATGGTTTGATGCTTTGTAGACAGAAGGAAAAGATGAAAGTCGTCTTGGATATTCATGAAAACAACAAGTATGAGGCTCTGGGAATGATTAGAGAAGCAGTCAGCTAGTGAGGGCCGTATTTCCTGTTTGGAGTTTCAGGTCCAGAGCCTGACTTTTCTGGGATACCATCTGTTTCCAATCATACTAGAATTTTGACCCTGTGCCGATTCATAAAATAAATCACTATTTCTAAAAGAATGCATTTATACATTTTCCAAAGAATATAGTCCTAGTCGATGTATAGCACATGGTTAAGTGTTTTAAAACAATACTTTTCCATATTGCCAAGCAAAAATTTTCTGTTCTTTAATTACTTAGTAATTTTTAGTACATTTTTACATAAAAAGTATCTTTAATCCAGATGATTTTATATATTCTAAAAAGAAGTAAACTTTCCTGAGAGATTCAATAGGCTTTATCTTTGTAAAGTACTTGATAAAATATTAAAGAAATGAGTAACAGCATTTGTCTGTGTCAGAAGTTCAGTTTCCTTCTCAATCTTTCAAAAAGATGTGCCCCTCAGACATTATATGCAACTTTGATGTTAATGTTTGAAGTTACAAGAAATTACAATTGCATTTTCCTAAAATGGTTGTGAAGTCAGATACATTTGTCCTTTCCCCCTTTTTACTACTTGAAAATGTTTTAAAGTAGCATATGGCTGTAAGGAGGTACTGAGAACTAATAACAGTACTTCATTTGTTGTCTGCTTTGATATAAGGCCTCTTTGAATTCAGCCAGTGGTTTAATTGTGAACTTTTGGGTAAGCTTTCTTAATAGGTGATGATAATTAAGCTAAAATATCTTTAAACTCACTGGAAGTGTGTGTTCAAGCTGCCCATACTAAACAGAGCTTTGGAAAATGTGAAAGGTTATAGGTGGGTTCGTAAAATTACTTTTACTTTTAATAATTTTCTTGCCAGCTGTCTTTCAAATGTGAAAATATTTTTTGTGTGTCTGAGTCTAAGTAAAAGAGTTTGGTTTTGAAGATGGTATGTAGATGTGTGTGTGCACACTCACGTAAGTTCACTGAAATTAATTATACAGGACCCCTGAAGCAGTGAGACTATAACTCAAATTGAGTTTAGGTTTTATTCTTTCAAGAACACAGATCACTCTATTACAGCATTTGTCTTTGTTCTACACTGAGAGGGGGTGGTGGGGACAGCTTTGATAGTATTAAGTATTTCCAGGCTTATGGTAGATGGCATGGCTGGTATGGTGGAGAACTGTAGCCTGAAAATTGATAGTCTGTGCCTGATACAGGTCAAAGGTGACTTATATGTTCTTTTGAAAAATGCATAAAGAAATGATAGATTATCTTAGTTCTCTGAATCATAAGACCCTAAATTTAACATGTATTTTATTTTTACCCATCCTGACTTCCACGTTTACTTTTTTCAATACATGTTATTCGCTAATAATTATTAGAAATTTTATTAAAATTAAGAGAAGCATCATTCTCTAATAACTTTTTTCTTCAGTAAAAAAATTATATAGTATGTCATGTTGTCTAAGTACTGTACTTATATCATTTTTGTGTACATTAGGAAATATCCACCCATCAGTGCTTTACTGTAAAAGCTACAACGTTTATTAATATTTCTAGACTTCAAAGTAAAATGTGCTTTCTCACTTGGATTATGGACTTTTCATGTAATTCTCATGGTGTACAGATTAAATTTAACTTTATTCTTTTGTTCCATTTTATTGATTTAAGATGATAGAATAGATTAATATTTTCAATGCTAATAAATTCATATTGGTTTCATTTTTAATGTCCCATTTACGGATGTTATGAGAGAATGAGAAATCAGCAGTTCTGGTCTTAAACAAAATGTCTTGCCCTTTTCCAGTTTTTAAGTTTGCAGCTTGGTTCTATGTATTTAAAGGTGTCTCTAAGCTTTTAATAAAACTGAACAGATTCTAGGAAAAGTCAGGTTAACCAGAGGGAGAGAGCCTTTTCATATGTGGTCAGCATTGTATTGCTGGAAATATAATAGACTTGGGTATATATATATACAGAAGAGAAAAGCCAAAAAATGTTAGCTATTTTTCCTAGTATTTGAAAGCAAAGGGATTAAAATTCTGTGCCATGTGTAACTTTTATATGATTGCATTGTGTGTGTTGTACATTATTAATACAATTTTATGATAAACAGGGAAATCAGAACTACTTTTTTGAGACTTCAAAAATAGTATCTGGGAATAGTGAGTTTCTCAGGTACCTTTTTAAAAATTCAGCCTACATTCAGTTCTCTCATTTATATAAATAAATTATGTCCTTTATGCAAAAAGGCAGAATGTCTTAGAGGTCAAGAATGGAAGATTAGGAGAAGGAAAGGATTCTTATGGTTTCTTTCCTTTGAAAACTCTGGAAATTTGACCTGCCTCTGATCTAAGCAACCTCCATTTTTCTAAGCCGTGAGCTAAAGATGCTGCAGTTTGCTCAGGTGTAAAAATTGCAGCAAGTACAAACATGATGGTCTTTTTATTATTATTATTATTGTTGTTGTTGTTGTTGTTGTTGTTATATGAGAGGATTATTTTAGTAATCCAAGTTTGAACTCAAGTGGGAAACACACTGTGAATGTTAAGCATCTTTGGATAGAACTAAGGAAAAAATATAGAAACTAACACAGTTTTAAGGACTACTACTCCACGATGCCAGGAATTGGTGCTGAGAACTTCTTGTTTATCTGACTTAAAGTCAACTACTCTGTCATTTGGATGTTACTAGCCTCATTGTAAATAAGACAAATAAGGCTCAGGAAATCAAGTAATTTGCTCAAACCCAACTCAGTAAGGTCAGAATTTGAATCCAGATCCATCTCCCAAGATCAGGATTTCTCTTTTGTGTCATCCAAGTACAAGTAAATTAGTCTCCATAGTGAGTATGTCCTTAACTATTGTTCCTATTAAAATCTAATGCACTGGAAAGAAAATACAACTGGCAAAAACACTAGGCCATTTTTACAAATATATTTTGCATATATGATCATGATAATTTATGAATTCTAGTTGGTATGGTCAATCAAGCAAATTTTTGTAATTCTTTTTGGGGAAGGGATATACTGGAGATCAAACCCAGGGCCTCTTTCATGCTTGGCAAGCACTGAGCTACACCCCCAGACCAGTCAAGCAAATTTTTTATCAGTTTTTGCTTAAAATGAAGAACTTCAAACTATTGTAGGTGTGTTTAAAAACTCAGAAAATTATACTAGCAGGTCCCCTTCTCTAATAGAATTCATTGTACTGAAAATTGGTTTAGCTACAGTTTTGGCATCTGTCTACCCATGTAATTTGTTTTTTTCATAAGAATTAGACTTGCAAGCAACTCAAATTACATTGTAAATTGTCCTAAGACTTTATTTTTCAAATAAAAATTTTTAATTAATAAAAGCACAGAAACTAATTTGGGAGTATATAGAGCTCCAATTTTGTTCTTGTGGGGATTTAGTGCTAGTTAACATGGAAGAAGAAAGTTCAATCAAATTAATTCAAACTTCCAGACTGTCTGTGAGCCCAATATAGTTAAATGTAACATTTTGATGATGGGGGAAACATGAAGTCATGCAAAATTTTCCTGAATGCTAAAGGCGTTGCATAAATCTACTTTGGGATCCTATCTCTGTCCCCACATTTATCAAAAATATCGAAGGCTATAGTATATGAGCCCAAGAAAGTGGGTGCAAATGCCATTGAGTTTAACGGTATAGGCCTTGACTGGCAGGTACGTTGTCCCTGTCAGTGTCAGTAGTTGATGTTCCTTTCCATTCACGAACATATTGAAAAAAGGATCCGGTGCTGTATTATTGGGTCTAAATTTTTTTAAGTGGAGATTGCTAAGAGATGACACATTGATCTGTTCAATATATTCTCCTAGAAAACAAGTTTCAACCCTCTCCCTTAGAAATTGCAGTTTCTCAAGAAAAAAATTGTGTGGGAAAATGGTAGCATTTACAGTACAAAACCAGTGAAATATGCCCAGTAAGATTAAACTTAATAAAAATGTGCCTGATTTATCTTAGGGAATATTAATCTCCATTAAAAATAGGTAATGTTCAACTGGGCTTGTTAACAAAAGCAGTAATTGATTTTAAGATGCTTTGTACTGAAACTAATTCTTATTTCTTACTGTTGCTAGAGAGGAAAGTTTATTTTACCCCTAAATATGTCTCTGGATATTTTTGGGTATCCCTTTTCCCAAAATTTCCCAAAATTCTAGTTGTGTGTTAGCAAGCTTGCGAGGTGAAAAGAGTATTTCACAGATATTTTCTCCTGAGGTGTCGAATTACCATAAAAACTCTAGTAACAGATTATACTTAGTGGCAAAGCCTCCTATTATTATGGGTAATATTAAAATATTGAAAGTATTAAGATATTTATCAAAACTATCTCATTTGTTTATTCTGAGATATTGGGGGATTCTTGAATTAGAAAAATTAGGCTGCCTTTTTATGGACTTACTTAAACACTTTTTGTCATTGGGGTTATATCTTAATTTTGATTAGAGAAAGAATATGAAAAGTAGGAAGGTCATTTAGGTTAAACATATACTTTTTTTCCTAGGATACATAAAAGATCAGTTGTTCATACAGAAA